AAACTCTCAAATAGAGTAAATGTACAAATTTGAGCTCACAAAAATTCAATCCTCACAACAATAAATTTCTCTCACAAATAAGATGAAAAGAAAAAATTGAGAACTTTGAGAGATTAGCAAATGAGAATTTTGAAGTTATGGAGGATTGAGAATAAGAGAATTGTTGTATAATTTTGAAGGAGAAGTTGAGTTTAAATAGAGAGGAAGAAAATGGTAAAAAAGATCAAGTTTAATTTTGGACCATTAGATCTTAATTATTAAAAATGAAGGGTTGAGATAATTTTGAAAAAATAAATTAAGAATTATATATATAAAAAATAATATATATATATATATATAATGATGTGATACATTTTGAATTATATATATAATAATAATAATAAAATAATATATATACACACACGTGAGAAACGTTAAAAAACTTTTAAATTTTTTTTAAACACTGACACATTTCAACATTAGTTTTTTAACTTTTTTTAAACACCGACACATTTCAACATTTAATGCTGACATGATGTAAAAAAATTTTTTATTATTTTTTTAATTTTCAAAGTTACCGTTGTAATTTTTGAATTTTTTTCTTTTCTTTTTCAATATATATATATTTTAAAAAGAAGTTTGTCACTTGTCAGCTTATGAACTGTTCACGTCATCTTCTCGAGTATTTTTCCTATCAATTTGTTTCGATCGCAACTTCTCCGTTTGAGCTCCGATTTGGATGATTTAATAGTCGTTGGAATCGTTGTAACGAGCTCTACGCTGTGGATACTTTAAAAAACTAAAATTATCAATAAATAAAAATTAAGTTTGTTATCATCAAAATATTAATTAATTAATTAATTAAAACTAATTAATTTGATATTAAGGCCAAAAAGCGTTATATAACATGTTATATAACTTTAAGGGGCCGTTTGTTTCGTAGGAATCCAAGATTCCCGTGAGACAGGCATTTGGACTCCCACGTTTGTTTTGCAATAATGTAAGATATCCGGATATCTCGAGATGTCCGGATATCCTAGGATGCCCATACGGGAGGCATCTTACGAGTTTTGGATG